GCATAGTATCGGCCCGTTGCGCTCACTTGGGGAGTGAATCATCGGACGGAAGATCTTCCTCTCTCTCTCTCCTCTCTCTGTACATCCGCCTTTCCAATGAAAAAAATAATAAAAATAAATCTTTAAAAAAAAAAAAAAAAAAGAAGAAAATTCAGGGGGCTGCAGAGCATCATCTTAGCACTGAAAACTCAGAAGGTAATAGTCTCATCAAACTTACGAGTTTCCCTTTGGTGTGGTTGGGGTGCAGTACAGTGATCTACAATACATTCCGCTTGATCACCTGTGTTCTAGAACTGCTGTCTTATACAAACCAAGCATTCAAGACATCACGCTAGAATCATAGGGACTCTACTTTCATTCATTTTTTTTTTAAAGATTTATTTATTGGAAAGTCAGATATACAAAGAGGAGGAGACACAGAGAGGAAGATTCCACTGATTCACTCCCCAAGTGACTGCAATGGCCGATGCTATGCCAATCCGAACCCAGGATCCAGGAACTTCTTCCGGGTCTCCCACACAGGTGCAGGGTCCCAAAGCTTTGGCCCATCCTCGACTGCTTTCCCAGGCCACAAGCAGGGAGCTGGATGGGAAGTAGAGCTGCTGGGATTAGAACTGGCGCCCATATGGGATCCTGGCACGATCAAGGTGAGGACTTAAGCCGCTAGGCCACCCCGCATGGCCCCTGCTTTCATTCTTATACAGAAATAAAGAGGATACCAGGGTGAAGCCGTGGGGTTGGGGAGAAAGGAGCCCTCTGCAGTGTGGCTGCTGCGAGGGTGCCTGAACCAGGCAGGACCCAATGCTGGGGACTCAGGCCTTGGGCACAGCCACCATGTGGTGACCGAGTCCTACATGATTCCAGGCCTGAGAGATTTCTTCCTTCAGGGTAAGTACACCATGGGGGAAGCTTGGAAACTGGATTAAGGCCCTGAATCCGTCCTGCTACTATCATCACTATCATCTTGCAGCAGGAAGAGTCTGGGCAGTGTTTGGACATGGGGAAGGGGAGCCCTCTGCAGTGTGGCGACTTCAGGGGCTGCCTGAGCCAGGCCAGACCCAATGCTGGGGCCCCAATGCGCCTATCTGCCACCAGGCTCTGCCTGTTGGCCGTCCGGCAGCAAGCTTTGGGGTTTTTAGGGTATGTAATTGCTGCCTAGTGTCATCCATGGATAAGGCCAGTGTGAGTGTAGGTGAGGGATGAATCCTGTGTGACTCCCAGTGATGGGGTCATGGAACTTTCTGGCAAGCGTGGGGACTGATATCTGGTGGTTTGGAGGGGAGAGTCCATAAGATCTATTTGGGTCAGACTGATTCACCAGCCCACATGGGAATCTTTTTTTTTTTTTTAATTACATTTCATTTTATGACAGTTTCATAGGCTCTGGCATTTCCCAAACCCCTCCCCATTGTGGATTCCTCCACCTTGCTGCAATACTACAATTCAAATCCAGTCATGATTCTTTCATTGCAAGCATGTACTATGTATAGAGTCCAGCATCTTATCCAGATAAATTCAAGTTTCTTGGGGAGACAATCTCTGGTCTGAAAGCAGAGCTGGCAGAATATCATCCCAATCAATAAAAAGATACAACATAACATCAACAACAATTTCCCTGATTATGGAATCAATTGACATGGTATCGAGTGACCAATATGTTAGAAAACGCAAGTTCTTAACCACATCCTGTGACTGCTTCATTGACATTTCTATTTTAGTCTATACACAACCGCTGCTATACACCTTAAAATGGCTATAGGGTATTATTTAGCTGTCTCGTGTCTATTCCCATTTTTATATTTAGCTGTTTATAGTATTGAAGCATAATTTTTACTGAACTTGGCGAATTTTAGGATAGTCCAATCCAGCTTATAACTCTAACTAGGCATATGTTAACAATTGAGGTGCAAAATAGTTTTAGGAGGGGTGTGCAGAGAAATCTTCAATACCTTAGTGAGCGGTAACTAATTTTTGTGTCCTATCTAGTAAGGTATATGTGAGTCCAAGCTATCTATTTCCTGTCTGGGTCTAAGCTTTCCTTATTGGTCTCTGTCTAACTAATCGTGCACGTACTGCGGGGTCCATGGGCCAGTCCTACTTAGTATACCTCCTGTCCTGCTAGGAACAGTGGCCTTTCCTTGCTGGCCTTCAGTCCATTTTGGTTCTTACTGTTGGATGTTTCAGCCCAGCCAAGGCTCATCCATACCCAGACACTGCTCACACATGGCTCAGTAGGGACAGAGACGTAGCCTAGTTCGTCCTACATGTACCCAGGTTCCCCAGACCACCAGATGCTGCTGGAGTCTAGCCCAGTTAGGTACACCCAGTCCCAGTTCAAACTTGTGCCAAGGGAAATTGCAGCCATATCCAGACCAGACAGCAGCCCTCACTCTGGCCCCCGCACTCACCAGTGGGAACTCCAACCCAGGAAGGGTTAGCAGGGACCTATGTGTAAGAATCAGCACCATCATCACGAACCATCTCAGAATATGCATAAGCAAGGTGTTAGAACTGGAAGCTGCAACTTGAACTGAGGTATTCTTATGGGTTGCCAAGGTGGGATATGGGTATCTCAAGAGTATCCTGCCCACTGTGTCAAGTGCCTGCCACAAAAGAATATTTTAAAAATATATAGTCATTACTTAGCAGTACATTCAACAAGTAAACACAAACAACAAATGTTGACAAAGACAGTGATATAATACCAAATGATCCATCCTAATTAAGTACACTAGTTTTTCTTCCAGGGAGGATTTAGGAATAATCCTGAGGAAGTATATTCTCTTCAATATTATCTTCTTATAATCTCAAAACATGTTGGGATTCTAATTCATATCATATAATTAGCAGTCTTTTGCATTCTGTCTTCTGGCTCTGCAAACCCAACCCACTAAGTAATTCAAGTACGGTCTGGGTGCAGAAGGCCAGAGGACAGAAGAGTAAAAAATGCCTCAGGGAATCTACAGTTCCTGTTCTCCCTTTATTCCATATCTTCTAACTGGACTTGACATTTCTTGACCCAGTTATCAAAAACCTACAGGGTAGAAGCTCTGGAACCATTAAAACTGGACGGGCCTATTCTATCCGTTGCTTTTTTCAGATGTGCCCTCTATATCAGAATTTTGTTTCACAAACTTTATTTCAGTTCAGTTTACTCATGTAAATAATCTCCAATTTTCAACTAATATTTTTTTACTATTATATGAAGTCATTTCAATTCTTTCCAATTTTGTTTTTAAAATATTTATCTCCAGGAAGCACAGGCATCTGGAAAAATGCACTCATGACTTAGAGATACCTGAGACAGTAGGGTATGTGCTATGCACGGCTCCATGTGCTGACAGGTTGTGTTGCTCAATTTTGGTCTCAATCTGAGTGGGCCATAGGTTGCCTGTTTCATTTGCCTGATTCCATAGCACATTACACAACTCTGAGCACATTGCTAGTGCTTACTGAGTGATAGTTAAACGAATAAGTGTATGTATGTCACTAGGGTGCCCAGATCAAACATGGTTTGTAAACAATCTGTGAGGGTGTTTCTGGATGAAATGAACTTTCTCATTTCTTTTCTTTTCAAGATTTATTTATTTATTTGAAATGCAGAGTTAGAGAGACTGAGAGAGAGAGCCATTTTTCATCCTTCCGTCCACTCCCCAAATGGCTACAATGGCCAGGCCTGGGACAGGTCAAAGCCAGGTTCCTGGAAATCCACTTGGGTTTCCTTGTGGACACAGAGGCCCAGACTTGAGCCATCTCTCACTGCTCTCCTAAGTGCATCAGCAGGGAGCTGGATTGGAAATGCACAAGACAGGATTCAAACTGGCTCATCTGTGATGCCAGCCTTGAAGGTAGTGGGCTAACCTGACGTGCCACAGCATCAGCCCCAAGAGTCAACGTTTGAGGTAATGGATTACATAAAGTAGATTGTCCTTCTCAACATAGCTGGAAACATCCAGTCTTCCAAAAATCTGAACCGAACAAAGACAGAGGAGGGAGGAGTCCACTCCCTTTTTCCTACTTCCTGGTGGGAGCTAGGAGATCAAACCTTACCTTCACTTGTCCTTGGACTGAGGTTTGCGTTATTGGCTTCCCTGGCTCTCAGGGCTTTGTACTGTGCTTGAACCCCAATACTGATTTTTCTGGGTCTCTAGCTTGCAGACAGCAGATCATGGGATTTCTCAGCTTCTAGAATTACATGAGTCAATTTCATCAGAATTTTAATCGCTCTTTCTTGTTCTCTCTCACTCTTCCATTTCTCTGAAGAACCCTAAAACACACACATCTATCCATTTAATTAAAAAAATATCTTTTAAAACATTTATTTATTTTTATTGGAAAGGCAGACTTACAAATAGGAGAGACGGAGAGAAAGAAAGATCTTCTGTCCACTGCACTGGTTCACTCCCCAAGAGGCCTCAATGGTCGAAGCCATGAGCTTTTTCCGTGTCTCCCACGCGGGTGCAGGGTCCCAAGGCTTTGGACTGTCCTTGACTGCTTTCCCAGGCCACAAGCAAGGAGCTGGATGGGAAGTGGGGCAGCCAGGATTAGAGCCGGTGCCCATATGGGATCCCAGCATATGCAAGACGAGGACTTTAGCCACTAGGTTACCGCACCGGACCCTATCCACTTAGTATTATCAAGTGTCCTATGCAGTGGAACAGGTTTTTATCTCCAGATTATAAATGAAGATTCTGAAACGCAGAGAAGTTTACTAACTAATCCAAGGTGCTATAGATGATAAGTAGTGGACTTAGAATTTGAACCAAAGTAATCCGGATCCTTATTATTTTTAAGATTTATTTTATTTTTATTTGAAATCCAGAATTACAGAGAGAAGGAGGGAAGGAAAGAAAGATCTTCTATCTCCTGCGTCACTTCCCAAATGGTCACTATGGCCAGGGCTGAGCTTGCTGGAAGCCAGAGCTTCTTCTGGATCTCCCACATGGGTGCAGGGGTCCAGGGGCCTGTGAGACATGCTCCCCTGCTTTCCTAGTCCCTAGCAGGGTTCTGGATTAGAAGTGGCGCAGTCAGGACGCAAACCAGTGTCCACATGGGATGTCAGCACCACAGGCTTAGGGCTACTCCATTACACCCATGCCACTGGCCCCTAAACATTTTCTGTGGTTACTGTGGCCTTCAGACACTGTCATGTATTATCACATTATGATGCACAATTCATATTTAAATCACATTTAAGAATACATTATTACTCAGCACATGGCAGCAAAATCACTACAAAATTATTTTATTTACATTTAGCAGAATTGATTAGTTTAAGCTGAAAAAAGGATGAAGTAGAAGTTTACAACTATCATCATCTATAAATCCCAAAACATTCAAGTTAAATATGTGCTAATGCAAAACTATTTTCCCCTTTCCTGATTTATTATAGTTATAGCATATTTTCTCTTAAAGCCATCAAGAACATTTTCAAGCATACTATGAAAATTATGAATTAAAGTATAGAAAGAAAAAGCAGAAATAGTTCACATGTGCATATTCAGAAAATTATACAAAATAGAAGAATATGTAACTTAAAAGTCAATACAACGTCCTTTTCGTTCCCAATCTCCATATCGAGTAGGTTCTGGGCCCCTTGGTCCGCCTTTTTCTTTAGTAACTGGGTTAACATCATCTGGGAATTCTAAGAAAAGACAAAGGTATAAACAAAGCAGTCAAAAGAAACAGGAACGGTATGATGGCCATTTCCCAAGCCAGGACTGGATAACAGGCTAGTTTCTGTAGACCCAGGTACCATGCAGTTTTCAAATGAACTGTAAATGTGTTTTCCTTAAGCTTGAGAAATCATTTTAGGACCTACTTTCATAAACATTCAGTTTTTAAAAATATTTTTATTTTTATTTTATAGTTACAGAGACAAAGCAAGACAGCAAAAGAAGTCTTTGATTCACAGGTTCACTCCCCAAATGCAATGGCTGGAGCTAAGCTGATCTGACGCTGGGAGCCAAGAGCTCCCATGCAAGTTCAGCAACCGAAGGACTTGGGCCATCCTCCTCTGCTGCTTTCCCAGGCCATAAACAGAGCACTGGATTGGAAGTAGAGCAGCTGGGACATAAATCGGTGCTCATATAGATGCCAACTCTGCAGATGGAGGCTTAGCCTACCTACGCCATGGTGTCAGCCCATATGCAATCAATTTTACCAATGACATTAATGACTTGGAATTCTTGGAGCATTTACAGCTGCCTGTCTGGGAAGCAGCTTTGTATGTGCTACTGTATACAAACAGAAGGAAATGGTTGCCCAGACTACAGAATGCAAATTCACAGGACTAGGAAGGTTTTGAAACAAGGTTAATTTGAAGCAGTCACCCTGACTAAATGCCTCTCTTTTAGCAAAATAGGAAGAACAATCATACCTAACTGGGAAATAAAAATATTCATATAAAGGAGCCAGCATTAGTGCCATGTACATAAAGGAATGCTAATTAATACAAGTTGTGCATAGCATTTTGTTTCAGTAGATGGTTCCTGGAGGCAGTTCCTGGCTCCTGGTTTTGGATCAGCGTAGCACTGGCCATTGCAGTCACTTGGGGAGTGAATCATCAGATGGAAGATCTTTCTCTCTGTGTCTCCTCCACTCTGTATATCTAACTTTGCAATAAAAATAAATAAATCTTTAAAAAAAAAGGAAGTCTCTTTTGAAAATAGGTCATCTAAGGTACACCCTCCCTAGATAAAAGAACGGATGAAAAGAAAGCTTGAAAATTTTCAAATATGTCTTCTTATATCAAGTCTTGGCTCTACTATGAATATCTTTTGCTGAATCTCATCATCATTACACTTTCTAAAAAATCTTCTGCTTTAAATTCAAGTTGGTCTGTCCCTAGACTGACTTCCCCTGAAGACCTCTCCAGTAGTTCTTGTTCCAGGACTCAGTGCGCACATTAGTCAGCTTAGGCTGCCATAGAACCACCAGCTGGGTCACTTTGACTCATCTCATGGGCCACTGTGATGGAATCAGCTACTTGATCCAAGATTGGCCTGTGAATTTTCTTCTGAGGGAAATTGCAACAAGCAGTAAGAAATTCTAGGCTCAGTCTGGCTGCTCTCCTGAACCTAAAAGCTAATGGGGGTAGTTACTTTCTGCCCAGGCAACCAAGAAGTTACTCTGGAGGTGGAAAACAATGCGGTGAGGGAGGGGGAAGGCGAGGGGGAATGAAGAGATCAGTATGGACAGGAAGAGGGAGAACAGCCTGTTTTTCTGGGGCCCACCAGTGTTACTGCCTTTAGGTACCTCATGTCTATTTAGTATCCTGAGAGCAATCTACCATGCCTTCAGTTTATCTTGTTTTCTGTTGTCTGTGTCAAAGATTAAGTCTTACAAGATGTAACAAATCAAATAATCAAACACAATTGTATAACTGTTAGGGGCTGGGAAATATTTTGACTGTTCAAGATTTATTTATTCACAAGTCAGATCACAAGTCAGAGAGAGAGAAACAAAGATCTTCCATCCACTGGTTCATTCTCCAGATGGCCGCAATGGCTGAGGCTGAATCAGGCCTAAACCATGAGTCAGGAACTTATTCAGTTTCCCATATGGGTGCAGCAGCCCCCAGGCCACTAACAGGAAGCTGGGTTGGAAGTGGAACAGCCAGGGCTTAAACTGGTACCAAATGTGAAAATGGATCCTATATGGGATCTCAACATCACAAGTGGCAGCCCCATTCACTACACTATAATGCCAGTGCCCCCTCCTGTTTTTATTTCAAAAGCTTACACTTATTCCATATGGCATTCCTGCTGAAATGCTTTATTAATAAAGATTCCTAAGCAAAAGCATATTTTTTCCATTTACTGTCTCAATAATTTAAACACTTCTGTCAACAATTAGAAGATAAGATTTACTTACTTTTTAGTGGTTCTTTCTCAAAATGGGAGCCCTCTGGGGCATCAAAGCGACCTTCTGGCAACCTGGGCTTCTTAAGGGCTTGTGTGACACGTCCAGCTTTTTCCCCTGGAGAAGAACTTGCTTTTCTCAAAGAATGATACAGAAAGGGTGATCCTGGAAGGGTCAGGAGAGTAGAAAAATGACTTATTTATTTAATCCATTTTAAAAACTTAATTTTACTTCTTTGCTTTTAGCTTGTAGGTTCACATTTATCAAAGTTCAAAAGGTACAAAAGAGTGAAAATTCTTCCCTTTATAGTTATTTTCAAGACAGTCACTTTTCTTCTTTGAAAACAACCAATATTACCATCAGAAAAAGGGCTTTTAAGTAGGTTAATCATCAGCAAAACTGTACAAATGTAGGTAAAGCACATATAATAGGTGGGGCTGGGTCAGGTCAAAACAAGGAACCAGGAACTTATTGGTCTCCCAAATAAGTGGTAGAGGTGCACAGACTTGGCCCATCTTCTGTTACTTTCTATAAGCGTTAATAGGGAATATGGATTTCCCTTATTGCCAGGGAGCTGGAACATTTTTTCATATGTTTGTTTGCCATTTGGACTTGTTCCTTTGTGAAATGTTTGCCCATTTCCCTTGCCCATTTCTTGAGTGGCTTGTTTGTTTTGGTTTTTTGGCTGTTTTGAAGTTCTTTGTATATCCTGGAAATTAGCCCCCTATTGCCTATATAGTGTGCAAAGATCTTCTCCCACTCTGTGGGTTGCTTTTTTACTTTGTTGATTGTTTCCCTTGCTGTGCAGAAACTTCTTAGTTTGATGAGGTCCCATTTGTTTATTCTGTTCTCAACTGCTATTGCTTTTGGTGTCCTTCTTAGAAAGTCGGGACCTACTCCTAGGTCTTGCAGGGTATTTCCTACATTTTCTTGCAAGAGTTTGAAGGTTTCTGGATGTAGGTTTAGGTCTTTTATCCATGTAGATTGGATCTTAGTGTATGGTGATAGATGTGGGTCTATCTTTTTGTTTCTACAGGCTATCAGCCAGTTGTCCCAACAACATTTACTAAAGAGGCCTTCCCACTTGCTTGGACTGTCATTGGTCTTTTTGTCAAAGATTAATTGGCTGTATCTGTGTGGGTTCCCTTTTGGTGCTTCTATTCTATTCCATTGATCTTCCTTTCTGTCTTTGTGCCAGTACCAGGCTGTTTTGATAACCACTGCTCTATAGTATGCCCAGAGGTCCGGGATTGTGATTCCCCCTGCTAACTTCTTATTCTTCAGGATGGTTCTAGCTATTCGTGGTTTTTTGTGTTTCCAGATGAACTTTTGAATCATTGTATCCAGTTCCATGAAGAATGTTTTGGGCAATTTGATTGGAATTGCGTTGAAAATGTATATAGCTTGTGGTAGTATAGACATTTTAATGATATTGATTTTGCCTATCCAGGAGCATGGGATGTTATTCCATCTTTTGAGGTCTTGTTCAATTTCCTTTTTAAATAGTTTGTAGTTTTCTTCGAATAGGTCTCCTACGCTTTTGGTTAGATTTACCACCTAACACCAGTTAGATTGGCCCACATAAACAAGAACACCAACGACACTTGCTGGCGAGGATGCGGGGAAAAGGGAACCCTACTCCACTGCTGGTGGAGCTGCAAATTGGTACAGCCTTTATGGAAATCAGTCTGGAGAACACTCAAACAACTCAAAATCTGCATACCATATGACCCAACAATAGCACTCCTAGGAATATATCCAAAACACCTGTTTCACGACAAACCAACATGCACCCCTATGTTCATAGCAGCACAATCAGTAATTGCAAAAACATGGAAGCAACCGAAATGCCCATCAACAGAAGATTGGATAAGAAAGCTTTGGTTCATCTACTCCATGGAAAACTACTCAGCTATTAAAAAAAACAAAATGCAGTTCTTTGTGGCTAAATGGGCACAACTGGAAACTATAATGCTAAGGGAAATGAGCGAATCCCAAAAGGTTAGATACCACATGTTTGCCTTGATTTAACTTGTAATTTTTGTTTGATTGTTGGTTATTTTTTGAACCTGTCATTGACACTGTCTCAACCCAGATGTTTCGAAGAATGGAACTTGCATTATTTTTAACATATTGTTTACCCAATACTATGTCAATTAATTCCATAATGTTGTATATTGATACGGAGGTTTTGTTGGGGCTTTTAACTGACCGGATCTTTACTCTGTTAGCCCTATCTTCAGACTAGAGAAGGTCTCCCCAAGAGGCCACTGAACTTATCTGGACAATAAGACGCTGGACTTTATGCTAGATATGTGTTTGCAAGGAACGAATCTCAACTGAACTTGAACTGTGGTTATGCAACAAGGTGGAGGAATCCACCATGGGGGGAGGGGTATGGGAGGGGTGGGGGGAATCCCCAGTGCCTATAAAACTGTATCACATAATACAATGTTAACAACAATAAAAAAAAAACAATAAAGTTGATCTACAAAAAAAAAAATAGGGAATATGGGATGCTAGCACAGCACGCAGTGACTTAAGTAGCTGTGCCACAAAGGAAACATTTTTGTAGTGAGCTAATAGTATGACAGAAGTGGGAAGAAAATCCCTCTTGTTTATTGTACAAGGACAGACCAGGGATATTGTGCTCCTTGGCACCTGTAGGCGTACAGCTTTACAGACATGTTCACGCGCATTAGGCGTGGCACAGGTGGTGGTGATGAAGCATGTATAAGGAGCTTCATCTCAGATTAGCTAACAAGCTGAGGGAGGTCAAGAATCCTGTCTCCCAATTCTGCCTATCAAATAGATGTTTGAAAAAAGTGGTTAGCCTAGCATCCAAATGTGACTCACATCAGAGTGCCTGGGATTGGCTCTCAACTACAGCTCCTAAATCTGGCCACCCACCAATGCAGATTGGGAGGCAGTAGGGAAGGCTGACATAATTGGGTTCCTGCCATCATGTGGGAGATTTGGATTGACTTTCTAGATTTTGCTGGCTCATTTTCATGTCTGACCATTTCAGATATCTGGGGGATGAGCCAGCTGATGGGAGATCTGTCTGGGTCTCTTAAAAAATAAAGCAAGTGTTAAGCAATAGAAGCTATATTAATGTTACCTTAGTATTACTTCTGGCTATCCAGACTTTTGATTAGTATCATTGTATGAGATGTAGCTGATAAAGTAGAACTCATCTCAAGAGTATAAGAAAATAATGAGCAGAAAGCTTGTGTATTCTGCTTCAAGAGGTGGTTTGTTCTTATTCAAAGTCTATGGAGAATTGTATTTACAGATACATAGGAACTAAGAAGGTGATCTTCAGAAAGAAATAACAAAAGCTAAGGAAAATTTGTCACCATGAAATTACTCACAGATACAACAAATAAACCAGAATTTCTGCTTCTGAGATTTGACAAATTATATACAAAATTTTATAGCTCTAAAATCCCCAGCCCCCAAAACATAAAATGTTTCTAAATTAGAGGAAGAACCTTTAAAGGAACAATTATTAGGGAGTGTGCCATGGTGTAGCAGGTTAAGCCATCCATCTACCAGTGATGCCAGCATCCTATATGAGTGGTGGTTTGAATCTCGGCGGCTTTCCTTCCCATCCAGCTCCCTGTTTATGGCTTGGGATGCAGCAGAGGATGGCTCAAGTCCTTGGGCCCCTGCAGCCATGTGGGAGACTCAGAAGAAGCTCCTGGCTTCCAGTTTTGGATTGGCCCAATTCCGGCCATTGTGGCCATCTAGAAAGTGAATCAGTGGATGGAAAGACGTATACTTCTCTCTCTAACTCTGAATTTCAAGTAAAAATAAGTAAATCTTAAAAGAAAGTAATAGTGATCAACTAAAAAGGCAGCCAAGTGCAGTAAATAAACAGCAAAACTGAAAGTGGTACATATTCTTTTTTTAAAGATTTATTTTTAAAAATTTTTATTGCAAAGTCAGATATACAGAGAGGAGGAGATATAGTGAGGAAGATCTTCCATCCGATGATTTACTCCCTAAGTGATCACAATGGCCAGTGCTGTGCCAATCCAAAGCCAGGAGCCAGGAACTTCCTCCAGGTCTCCCACATAGGTATGGCTTTGGGCCGTCCTTGACTGCTTTCCCAGGCCATAAGCAGGGATCTGGATTAGAAGTGGAGCTGCCAGGACTAGAACCAGAGCCCATATGGGATCCTGGCGCATTCAAAGCGAGGACTTTAGCCAGGAAGCCACCACGCCAGGCCTTGAAAGTGGTACATGTATTTTGTGCCTTTTCTTGCCCAGGTCCCTAAGCATGGAGCTTTGGAACAACAGACGTGGCAGTACATTAAGCCTGAGCAAAACAGAAAGCCTATTACAAGTCAGGAGTCTGGGAGACTAGCTGAGAAAGGCAAAAAAAAAGAAAAAGGCAGGAAGAGTTAAGCAATGCACTCAAAGCACCTAAAATATATTGTTAAAATTGGGACAGGCATTTTATATGGAGGGAATGACTCAGCTCAGAACTATCAGAGTCCTTGGGTTCAAATTCTGGTCCTATGTTCTTTTTAAACTTATTTATTTCAGAGTTACTGCGCAAGGAAGAAAGAGATTCTTCATCTGCTGGTTTACTCCCCAAGGGACCACAATGTTCAGGTCTGAAATAAGCTGAAGCTAGGAGCCAAAAGTTTTATCTGGGTCTCCAACATGGGTGGCAGGGGTCCAAGCACTTAGGCAATCTTCTGTTGCTTTTCCTAGGAGGCCATTAGCAGGGAGTTAAATGTGAAGGCGAACAGCCAGGACAAAGGGGTACCCATGTGGGATATAGCACCTCAGGTGTGACCCTGGCAGTTATGTCATAATGATGGCTCCCAGGTCCCCCTGTGAGGCTATGCACCTGGGAGGCAGCAGATGACAGCTCCAGCACTCAGGTTCCTGCCCTGTGTGGAGGCCTGGCTTGACTCTAGGCTTTGACTTTGGCTTGATCCACCCTGGCTTTTGGGACATTTGTGCAGGCTGTTTCTCTGCTTTCCAAAAAATCAAAATGGATAATTAAAAATGTTTTTAAAACGTAGATTCTAAAGTCCGGGTGGGATCAAAGATTCTGAATTTTTTCAAGTTCCTAGGTGATATTTATGCTGCTGGTAGAAGGAACCAGAAACAAACAACAAAGTTCCAAAGAAAGAAGGAAAAGTGTCC